AACTCCACAAGCTGCTTTTATTATTCTACTTTCTATTCCTACCTAACATAGGCCGGATAGAAAAGATGTTGATACTCAGAACTGACATTGTCACTTGTAGGAGGCTCAGTTTTTCAGATATTGGGCCAAGAACCAAAAGTTAGGTAGAATATCCTCTCCCACCTCTTCTTTATGTCCCTTTTTGTTCTTAGGGTAAAAGAGGCTGGAGGGTGGGGGAGGCAGTGGAGACATAAAAAAAATCTTCTAAAGATGTTCCGTGTCTGTCTTTGAAGGCAGGTTCCGCTACAGGAAGTTTAGGAAACTTAATCATGGTTTTTAAAATTCAGAACCATTATTTGAATATTCTTGTCCTTACATAGGAAGACTAAGGCATAAACCTTAATATTAATGCTATCAATTTAAAAATAAAAAATGGGGGGGCGCCTGGGTGGCTCAGTCGTTAAAAGCGTCTGCCTTCGGCTCAGGTCGTGATCCCAGGGTCCTGGGATCGGGCTCCCTGCTCGGCAGGAAGCCTGCTTCTCCCTCTCCCACTCCCCCTGCTTGTGTTGCCTCTCTCGCTGTCTCTCTGTCAAATAAATAAAATCTTAAAAAAAAAAAAAAAAACAACGGCATGGAACACTTTTCAGTTAGATCATATGTAAAACAATGTACTGTTTTTTAAAGTGATATATAAATGTTTCAACATGAACCTGAGCCACTATCTACTAGGGCTCCCCCAAACTTCCTCTACAATCAAGAATAACTACTTTATCAAAAGAAAATTAAGAAGCCTAGAAGTTATTAGACAATCAAGAGAAGCTTTATTTTGAAAACTGCCACTTCCTCTTTAGAGGTTATTTGCTCTTCAACCAAAGACTAGAGGCACGATTTTACTGGGGGGGGGGGCGGGGGAGAGGGACTGCATATTTTTCAAAGAAATAAGTTTATACACAAGTGTGTGTTTTATTAATAATGAAAATTGCTTAAACTACTTTGATTCCTACCATTCTTGCTTTGACAAAAGTATCCAAAGCTAACCCATTGAACTGGAAAAGATTCAACTCTCAACCACTTCACATACATCTTATTCCTAATTGGTAAACTGAAAAAAACCCCACTATCACCCAGTTCACTCTGTTACCAGGTGCCACATTTAAAGTAATGATCAAAATAATTCATGGCTTTAAAATGTAAAATGCCTATCTACTTTTTAAGAATTAAAAAAATACACTGGTCTTGAATTGTAAAGATTATAAATTAGGTTCAAAGCAAACAAGTTCGCGTTGTAAGAAGCATACAATTAAAAGTGGTTATTCTTAGAAAATCAAAAGTCCCTGAAATTGTCATGAATTCTATTTATTCCATTGAGGTAGTGAGCGACTGGTACTTAGGCTTCTCTGAACATTTTTACTTTTAATTGAACCAATTCAACCAACGGTTAACTGACCTCCGCGGGTCGGGTATTGAGCTGTGTGAGAAACAGAAAACTGAAAAGGACACAATCTCTGGGGGCCGGGACGGAAGGGCGAAGGCGGACGGATCCCTACACTGGGACAGCAGTGGAGGACTATCTCAGACGGAGAATTAAGTCCAACCCCCTCTCTGTGTTTATAAAAACTAGGACGAAAACTACACTGCCCCACAGACTGTTCCAAACTACCCGCAGAGAGGAGGGCGGGCGGCAGGTGGCAGGCGGCCTCGGCTCCGCGCCTTTGTTGACCGCCGCCCCCAACCCTTCCCCGGCCGCGGAGCGGGGATTCCGGCACAAGGCGACAGGCATCTCGGGGCTGGGGCCGCAAAGGCGCCTGAGGACTGCACTGGGCCTCCGGCCGGCCGAGGAACCGCGCTGGGCTGAGTCCGGCCAGGCCCCGCCGGGCGCCAAGGGGAATGGTGGGCGCGCGCCTGTGGCTAGCGCGCCGAGGACTCACCTTGGACACCATTTTCTTGAGCTGGCTCTCCGACACCGCCATGGCGGCCGCCTCGCGACTCCCGTCCCCGCAGGCAGAGGGTCAGCCGCTCCGGGGCCGCCCCTGGCCGCCCCACACAATCACACACCTAGTAACCAGCCCCCCACCCCCCCGCCTCTAACAACAGGAAGTCGGCCACCAGGCCAGCGCGTCCGCTTCCTTTACGTCACTTCCGGGGTAAGCGACAGGCTGGGAGCGGTGTGTGCTCCGACGCACCTGGTGGGGTATTCTCCTCAGGCCGAGCCTGTTGCGAGGGTCGAAACCCTGCAATGGGGTAAGATCAGCAGGTGTTTCACGGTTGCCTTAGACTAACGGAGCAGGTGCAGGGAGGGGAAGTAGGAAGGTTTTGCTTGTGAGCTTTAATGACCGATTCATCATGTGGGCTGGGAGTCAGAAAACTGTTGTGCGGCTAACTTGCCCTTGTGATAATAGAAGGCAAGTGCACTTGTAGTTGGGGCTTAAGTTTTTCCCAACTCGGAGATGGGAGGCTTGCGTTAGATGATGCCTAGGGTCTCTCTGATTATGAGGTTTTGTTTTTGTTTTTTAAGCATAGAAGTTCTTCATACTACATCCACAAGGGCGAAGTGTAGAGCCCTGGTTTCACAGGAAACCGGGCGATGATTTCTTCTCTGGGAAACCATTCCGCTAAGTCAGAAACTCTCTTCCTAGCCATAAATCATAATACACGCAGCATTCTACCTTGCTCTACACGTGCATACTGGCCTGGCCACTATCAAAGTACAAATCTTTGAGGGCAGGCTCATCTTCAGATCCTCATCCTTGTACAGAGCAAGAGTAGGGACTTGATCTTAATTGCATTTCTACTACCCAAAGAAGTTCTTCATGGTCATTTGTATGAGTCATTATTGCACTCACCACCAGTTTTATAAGCACACGGTGTCATTCAAGGTATTGTAAAACTTGGGTTTGATGATACGAAGTATGTTCATTTGGATGATGTTAGCTTAATGCTAATGAGGAACAGACTGTGGTATTAATTCTTTTCTAAATTGGCATCTAGGTGAAGTCAAAAACACAGAGGGCCTAATTAAACCATGTGGAAGTATCTTAAATTATTGCCAACACACAGGCACAGGCTATCCCAATAGGTATTTTTTTTTGATAAGGACATCATGTGTTAGTTAAGTATACAGCTCCGGTCAAACCAAACTATAGTGCAATCTATCTTTCCACTGCACCTTTTTTTTTTTTAAATATTTTATTTGAGAGCAAGAGCAAGAGCGATCACAGGGGTGGGGTAGGGGGTGGGGAAGTAGACTTCCCGCTGAGCAGAGAGCCCCACATGGGGCTCGATCCCAGGACCCCTAGATCACAACCTGAGCCACGCAGACACCCGTCCACTGCACCTCTTTTATGTCACTTAAAAGCAAAGCAGTTTTCAGACTGGTCTTAAAGCCACAACTTACTCAGAAGTACCCTCAGAGCAACTGTGCTTTTATCAATTGGGAGAGTGCAGGTAATACATTGTTCAAAAAGTTTTCTTGCTGGAAGTAATTTTTAAAAGCTTGAAAACAAGAAGGGCCATATGCACCCCAATTTTCATAGCAGCAATGTCTGCAATAGCCAAACTGTGGAGAGAGCCGAGATGCCCTTCAACAGATGAATGGATAAAGAAGATGTGGTCCATATATACAGTGGAATATTACTCAGCCATCAGAAAGGATGAATACCCAACTTTTACATCAACATGGATGGGACTGGAGGAGATGTTAAGTGAAATAAGTCAAGCAGAGAAAGTCAATTATGTGGTTTCACTTATTTGTGGAACATAAGGAATAACATGGAGGACATTAGGAGAAGGAAGGGAAAAATGGGGAAGGGGAATTGGAGAGATGAACCATGAGAGACTATGGACTCTGAGAAACAAACGGGGTTTTAGAGGGGAGTGGGGAGGGGGGATTGGTTAGCCCAGTGATGGGTATTAAGGAGGGCACGTACTGCATGGAGCACTGGGTGTTATATGAAAACAATGGATCGTGGATCACCACATCAAAACCCAATGATGTACTGTATGGTGACTAACATAACATAATAAAATTTAAAAAATAAATAAATAAATAAATAAAAGCTTGAAAACAACAGAAGCCAGTCTCTTAATTTTGCACTTAAGCCACTTAAAATGAAATAAATGTGCTGGGTACTGTATCAATTATATGAAAGAAACTCTCCTCAATCTGAATAAATTTTCTTTCACTCTTTAAATAAATTAGGCATCTTCTGGTGATTTTAAAGTCAAAGTTTATTTTACTCATTGTTCTTGATACTTAAGGAAAGCTACGATGTAAATTGGAATATCAAGTATTTATCTCTGCACTACAAAATCAAAGCATTTTAATCCAAGCCCCACTAAAAATCATGACAAGAAGAGACAATGCATGATTTTGGAAAAATGAAACAGTGAAAGTTAAAAAAACCGTGAAAGGCAATTACCACCAAATCACAGTGAGGTAGTGGTGGTACGGCTTCTTGACTTACATATGGAACCTACATGACCGGTAATACTCAACACTGAAGGAAATAACTGAGAGAATTATGTCTATATGGTGGGCTTCTGCAGGGCAAGGACAATTACTCAACTCTGAATACTTATGTTCTAACACAGTATTTGGAGTAACAGTGGATGCTCAGTAAGTATTTGTTATATTGCATTCATTGACCTTCATTTTTTTTTTAAGGTTTTACTTATTTATTTGACAGAGAGAGACACAGCGAGAGAGGGAACACAAGCAGGGGGGGTGGGAGAGGGAGAAGCAGGCTTCCCGCCGAGCAGGGAGCCCGATGTGGGGCTCGATCCCAGGACCCTGGGATGATGACCTGAGCTGAAGGCAGACGCTTAATGACTGAGCCACCCAGGCTCCCTCATTGACCTTCATTTATAATTAATATAGTGAACTCTTGGTAATTCATCTATTACACAATGTCTTGCAGTAAAGTTATTATTCAAGAGCGTATTAGAAATTAGATAGTAGAAATTATCTAATTTCTAATTAGATCACAGATATTAGAAAAGGCTAGTTTAAAAAATACAAGAAATGGTTCTTTCAGTTTTACTTCCGTATTTCATGCAACAGGATAGTGAGGATACATTGTTAAGAGTAACACCAAAATAATCTACCCAATGTAGTGAACTTACACAGAACTAATACATATCTCTTCAAATGCCCAAGGTTTTTAGCCCAGGTAATTCTCACGGGGAATCTTTCCAAACGTATTAAATACTTTATACTTTCTCAAACATGGGACATGGTATAATTTCACTTTATGATTTAAGCTCATTATAAGCATCCATTATTATTATACTAAATCGGCATTAGTTTCACTGTTTCTCCCATCCAAGTACTAACCAGGGATGTGTCTGCCCTTACAAACCGCCTGGCTCCTAGCTCTCTGACGAGGTTTGGATTTGCCTGTTATGTGCTTTCAGAGCAACTGGGACAACTCTGCAGTACTTACTGTACTTGGAATTGTACATTTATTTCTGAGATTTGATTACGATGTCTCCCATACTAGACTGTACGGACAGTGAGGGCTGTGCCTAGTCCCGGCTGGCCCACCCGTGTATCTGCGGTGCCCAGTACAGTGCCTGGTGTGCTGTAGGCTTCTAGTCAGTACCCTGTGACTAAATAAATAAACACCTATCTCAGTGCATACTCCTCTTTGCTATTTGCTGAGGGCAAGTCTGGGAAGTCAGGGAATCCATCTTTCAAAAAACTATATTGGGATAACAAAGAAAGCCAGCCCCTACATGAGAATAGAGGTAATCCTTCTGTAGTGTATAGAATCCCAGCTTTATGGTCTTGTGCTTACTATTTTGGCTGTTAGGCTTTTTCGTCCTTCTACTGCTTAGAAAAAGAAGAGGCTGTGTGGATAAGTGCCCCTGGGCTGTGACACCTGGGCACTAAACCTCAGTTTTCTCCTCTATAAAATGACAGAACCTACCGCAGTGGATGATTTTCAGGATTCAATAAAATAATAAAGTGCTCATCACCCTGCCTGAAATAGAAGTGTCAGCGTTAGCTGTTACTACTAGTTGTGTGTTGCATCTGTAATAATGCGCTATCTTTCACATATGAAGATACTGTTACTGACCCATAAAAGGCATACGGACTCTGAATCATTTCTTCAGGAGTGGTAAAAAGGTTCGCTCAGAACAGCCAGTCCATCCAACCTCTTCTCCTTAAGACTAATGGTTTTTAAGAAAGCCTCATATTTTAGCTTTAAGGTAAATTGCTTGGCTTTTTTTTCATAATCTATTTCCACTAAAAATATACATTTCTTTATGATACTAGTAGTATAGTGGATTTTTGAGATGTTGGAGATCTATTATATACCCCAAGAAAGGGTTATAAAAAATTTCAGAAAGGACAGTCCCACTGGAAATTTAACTACACTTTTTCTTCAAATATTAAAAAATTTCACTTGCCCTTTTACTACTTGAAAGTGCACATAAAATTTTTTTTTTTTTTGGTAGCTAATTAATTTGAAGAGGGGAAACAAAATGCTTTCCCATTACTACCAATTATATTTTAAAGAAGAAACAATACCTTAGGCTGGGGATCTTTTGAAAGTACACCTAGCACAGATTCTGTAAATCAATACTGGACCTTCAGCTTATCGTGTTTATTATAACAGTCAGGGAGTCACTTTCTTTTAAAAATATATACTTTCAAAATATTCCCAAAGTGCTGAATGTGCTTTTAGTTGAGGATCCATAAATTTAAATGATGCATATTGTAGATGAATGTGTACTTCTGCTGGAGGTTTAAAGAACAGTTTAGATAGCTCAAGAGCAACACAGAAAATCAGATCTCTCCCCACTGCCCCACTCCCTAAGGATTCAAATTACAAAGCTAACCGGAAACCATCTACCTTAACCAAGCAGTTTGTAAGGGTAAGTAATAAGAAACAGAAATTCTCAACCCCATATATGTTGGCCAAATTAAATGACCTTTCCCTTCTGGTAACTGAACTTTAGAATCAAAGTTTTAACTGTTGTTGGAGACCATGGATTGATGATGCACTGCTCTGGAGTTTCTTGGTCACTGTATCTTCCTTCACTGTGCTTTGGATGACATCTGATACGCCACTGGTCCCAACGATGCAAGGCAAACTTAAGAACACTTCACTGTTTATACCATAATATCCCTGAAATGAAAAAAAAACAGGGATTATGATAGAGCTAAATCACTGCAAAAAATTAATATCATAAATATGGATACTTCCTTGCTTTTCTAGTTGTTATAAACAGATACGAATTGAACTTTAAAAAAAAATTGTGTTCATTTAATTTCTAAACTCATGCTTGTTTCAGAAAATGTGTGCGAGACAGGAAGCACGTGGTCAGAGACAGCCGCTTTGTGGGGCGCTAGCCCGCTGCAGGATGGGGAGCAGGTTGGGGGCTGAGAGAAGATGGTCAGAGTGGACTCCCTGGGGAGGGACCCCGTCACATACGGTAACCTGTTTTAAGTTTCCCTTTCCGTGTTTTATTTCCCTTCTGATATTCCAGAGTTTTCAAGATAATGTGGTTAAGCCTGTGTGCCTTGTCTTAGCTGTGCTTTAGGGACTCTATGCTTGGATAAAGTGGTAAAGGACAAAGTGAACTGGAGAAGCAGATGGACGAGCAGCTAAGACGAGCTGGCATGTCAGTCTGGGGTGACGTGACTGGCAGAGGTGTGGTAAATGACAACCAGAAGAACTTTATGGAATACACAAATGTTTGTTGAGGCTTCCCAAAAATTACATGGGGGGGAGGGGCAACCTGGAAGAAGTCCAGGCTTCCCATAACCAAGCAGGACGGGGCTTAGACCGAACTGTCTCCTCCGGTGTGTCATTCTCGAAACCAGTGATACTGAAGACCCCTGAGGTACAGTCAGAGTAACACTTTTTCTGGATTTATACGAATAATTGCGAAGTTTAAAAACATGATGAAAGTATGAAAACAGAAATTACCTTTGCTAAAATTGATACAGAATGTACTTTCTTTTTATTGCTTACAATACTGTCAACCAGGTCAGCTACCGACAGTCCAACAGACCAGGATCTTTGGCCTTTTACCCGTAACAGTTCCATGGCTCTAGGTTACCAAAAATAAATAAATAAATAAATAAATAAATAAATAAATAAATAATCTCAGAAAATTCACAAAGTATGTACATTTAGTTTTATACCATTTAAGGTATTAATTAGATATTTTTTGATTCAGAAATAAGTGTTATACAGCAATTGTTAGGAAAGCCTACAGATAATCTACTGACTAAACTTTTCTTAAAATGTCAGGCAGGCAACAATGAATCATGGAACACTACATCTAAAACCAATGATGATGTATGGGGATTAACATAACAATAAAAAATTTTAAAAAAATGTCAGGCAGGTAGTTGACAGAGAAAATACAAATGGCTAACATAAAAAGCAGCTCACCTCTACTAATATTTAAATGTGAGTTAAAACAATACGCCAGTGTTGCCTATCAAAATCGGCAAATTTAAAAAGATTGATAACTACTTCTGGAGAAGCTACAGAGAAACAGGCATTCCCATAACTGCTGTTGAGAGCGGTAAGTGATATAATCTTTTAGGAGGAAGATTTAGCAACATCTGATCTAGAAATTCTTCCTCAGGGATTTTACTCCACTGCAATATGCGCAAATATGCAAATATATATGCATGTTTGCCTTGTGTGAGACAGCAAAAATTCTGGAAACAACTCATCAAAAGAGGACTGGTTCAATAAATCACTATCCAAATGTAGTACTGTATAGCTCCAGAGAGGAATGAGGTAGACTTCTATGTACAACATGGAAAAATGTCCAAGATTTATTATTAAGGAAACAAAGTAAGTTGCAAGGTAATATGAATAGCATATATCTATTATTATACAAATAATAAAAATAATAATGTTTGCATAAGCACTGGAAAAATGTTTGGACATGTGGACACTAAGCTGTTAATAGTGGTTGTCTCTGGGGAGTGGGATGACCCCCCCCCC